AAATACTGGCTAGGGTGTGGAGAGATTAGAACTCTTATACACTGCTGGTGGGACTATAAAATGGTAAATACAATCACTGTGCAAAACAATATGGTGCTTCCTTGAACAGCTGGAAATAGAAATACCATTTGATCCAACAATCCCATTACTAAAAAAAATATCCTAAAGAGGTCAAACCTGGGACACAAATAGATATGTTCATCAGAGCACTATTTACAACAGGAAAAAGATGGAAACAACCTAAGTGTCCATCAACAGATAAATGCATAATCAAACTATGGTACATACACACAATGGAATGCTATACAACACTAAAGAATTATGAAGAATCAGTGAATCACCTCATAATGTGGCTGACAAAATGAGGACATTATGCTGAGTGAAATAAGTCAATCACAGAAGACATACAGTGTGTAAGCCCATTATTGTAAAAAGTCAAGGAAAGGTTTACACAGGGAAGGACATTTTCTTGTTGGTTACCAGGGGTGGGAGGGGAGGGGAAGAGGGAAAACAGATGGATAATTAAGAGATGGGTTTGATATGGGTGAAGGGATATGAAAAATAAAGACGATTAGCCAATCATTGATAGTTTTTGAAGCTAGCATATGGGCACGTGGAGGTTCATTGAAATTTGTTTTTAAAAAACAAAAAAATCGATTCTTCCTTCTGTCATCCATGTCTAACAACTTTTACCTCATACCTTTCTCCTCTTTGTCCTTTTTATTTTGGGAGAATTGTCCAAATTTGTCCTCTAAGTAACTGATTTGATACTATATGGTGTGTTTCTTATACATTTTTACTATTTAGGGAGATTATAATTTAATTTTACTATTTTCATAAATAATGTAAACAAATATTATTGTTGTTAGGTACTGTCAACTTGGCTCCAACTCACAGTAACTCTATGTACAACAGAATGAAACACTGCCTGGTCCTGCACCATCCTTACAATCCTTGTTAAAACCCAACCTATCATTGTAGCCACTGTGTCGATCCATCTTATTGAGGGTCTTTCTCTTTTGCACTGACCCTCTAATGTAAACAAATAAAAAGTGAAATATATAAAATTGTTTGTTGTTGTGTTGTTATTAGGGGCTGTTGAGTCAATTTGCAATTTCCTAATGATCTGTGATACAACCACAGTAACATTACATTCAAGAAAAATACATTAGAGTGAAGAGTATTGGGAAGATATCAAAATACCATCACAGAATCAAACACAGAACAAGGAATGGCATTCAAATTTAAGTGTTAGAGTTATTTTGAAATTAAAGCAATTTACAATGTTTTACTCATATATTATCAACAATTTTTACTGCTTTCTTTCTGTTACCCATTCTTGTTACTTCTAACTTCATTCTAGTTAATTTTTAGACCACTACTTGCAAATCGTTTTTTCCCTCAAAAGGGACAATTAAGAAAAAAAAAAAAAACAAACTTGTAGACCATATTGTTTTCTTTACTCCATTCAGAAAGAAAATAACCAATTCCTATGGAAAAAGGTATTTTTATAACTTAGATTATTTTATTTATTGAATAGAATAATGTAGGTATGTT